ACGCCTGGCCACTTTTTTTTTGGTTGCAGCCATCATTGTTGTTTGGCGGGCCCGGGCTGGGGATTTGAACCCGCCACCTTAGATGTATGTGGCTAGCGCCTTAGCCACTTGAGCCACAGGCGCCGAGCCGCTTTCCTTTTTCTAAAAAGCACTTGTTCTAGTTTTTTCTGACATGGCCTCGAGAACAAGTACCAAACTTTCAGTAACAGTAGTCGCTGCTGGCCCTGAGGTGAAAGGTGCAGGTCAAGTAAAATCCCGCAAACCAGGCGGCCCCTATGGCTGGGTGGGAAGGGCGCCAGCCCCATACTGAGGGTGGTGGGTTCAAACCCAGCCCCAGCCAAACTGCAAACAAAATTAGCCAGGAGTTGTGGCGGGCACCTGTAGTCCCAGATACTTGGGAAACTGAGGCAAGAGAATCACCTAAGCCCAAGAGTTACAGGTTGCTGTGAGCTGTGACACCACATCATTCTACCGCGGGCAACAAAGTATGACTCTGTCTCAAAAAAAAAAAAATCCTGAAAATCATTCAGGGGAGGGCTTGGCGTCCTTCAGCTGGAAGTAACAGTATGCCAACATCAAGAGCAGCTTACTCACTGCTCTTGCAATATGCTCTGCAGGTGACAGAGCATCAACCCAAGCAGGGTGCAGTGGCTCACACCTATAGTCCTAGCACTCTGGGAGCCCAGGCAGGTGGATCGCCTGAGCTCAGGGGTTCAAGACCAGCCTGAGTAAACATGAGGCCTCGTCTCTACTAAAAATAGAAAAACTAGCCAGGCATTGTGGTGGATACCCCTATTCCCAGCTACTCGGAAGGCTGAGGCAAGAGAATTGCCTGACCCCAAGAGTTTGAGGTTGCTGTGAGCTATGATGCCACAGCACTCTACCCAGGGTGACAGAGTGAGACGCTTCCTCAAAGAGGAAAAAAAAAATCAACCTGGCCCTTCACTAATTGCAGAGGTTTCGGATAGTGCTTTTTCCAACTCCCACCCATCATCTTCCTCAAGTGTCTTCTTTCCCCTACTCCCTGAGAACAAGACCACCACAACAATTATCAGACTGGGTATCTGGCCTGCCAGAAATATGCTAAATATAAATATCGCCCCATCAGAAACACAATATGAGTTATAGAAAACTCAAAAGTATGTGTCCACCCCTCCCCCCAGGGACAAACACCAACTACTGGATTTCTCTCTCTCTCTCTCTCTCTCTCTCTCACACACACACACACACACACACATGTGCATATGCATGCACGTAATGTGTACATACATATATACATTTATTTTTATAGAGGTTTCATATCATACAGGCTACTCTATATTTTTTACTTCATAATGTATCTTGGACACAGATTTCCATGCAGATGAGAAGCTGACACTTTAGACAGGAAGAGCAATGTTTTGTTTATAGTGTCCAGCAGATCTGAGGCTGCAGACATTACAAACAGTCCAGCCCAAGGCGAAAACTCACAAACATGCTCTTTTGAGTTCTAGTCAGCAATTTAAATTCTGATTCTTTCTTCCTACACTTTTAACTCACCAAGAACACCTCCCTCCAAAAGCATAGGAAAAACAAACTTTACACGTCATAAAATTATATATATCCTGTACTTACCTCATTCAACAAATATTTATTGAATGGCCCCTAGGTACAAAATCCTGGAGAGTAAACATTTTTTGACTTATTTATTTATTTCCCAAGGACTAAGCTATTTTGCAATGCTGCTGCCCTCCCAAACATCCACACTGTACTTAGGTCAGCTGACTGGATTAAAAGGTCTTCCTGTTAATGATCTACTTCAAAAAATTATTTTTTGTCTCCCCCTGTTGCCCAGGCTAGACTGCTGTGGCCTCAGCCTCTCTCACAGAAACCTCCAACTCCTAGGTTCAAGTGATCCTCCTCTCTCAGCCTCCCAAGTAGCTGAGACTACAGGCACCCACCACGATGCCCGGCTAAGTTTTCTATTTTTAGTAGAGATGGGTAACACTCTTGCTAAGGCTGGTCTCTAACTCCTGGACTCAAGTAATCCACCCACGTCAGCCTCCCATAGTACTAGGATTACAGACGTGAGCCACCATGCTATCCTTACTGTGTTTTGCCACAAATTCCCAACAACATCCACTAAAACAAGAACATAGAGAAGCAGATTCACATTACTAGTCCCTATTGAAAATATATGGTTGAGGGCTGGGCACAGTGGCTCACGCCTGTAATCCTAGCACTCTGGGAGGCCAAGGCAGGTAGACTGCCTGAGCTCACGGGTTTGACACCAGCCTGAGCAAGAGCAAAACCTTATCTCTAAAAAAATATTTTATTTGCCTCAAGTATTTTATTTATTTATTTATTTATTTATTTATTGGTAGAGGCAGAGTCTTACTTTATTGCCCTCAGTAGAGTGCCATGGCATCATATCTCACAACTCCTGGGCTTAGGCAATTCTCTTGCCTCAGCCTCCTGAATAGCCGGGACTGCAGGTGCCTGTCACAACATCCAGCTATTTTTTTTTTTTGCAGTTTGGCTGGGGCCGGGTTTGAACCCGTCACCCTCGGTATATGGGGATGGCACCCTACTAACTGAGCCACAGGTGCCGCCCACTCAAATATTTAGTAATAAAAACAAAATTTAAGGCTCAGCAGGGTGGCAGGCACCTATAGTCCCAGCTACTGGGGAGGCTGAGGCAAGAGAATCACTTGAGCCCAAGAGTTTGAGGTTGCTATGAACTATGATGCCATGGCACTCTGCCGAGGGTAACAAACTGAAACTTCGTCTCAAAAAAAACAAAAAAACAAAAACAAACGGTTTATTTTATTCAAGAAATCCTTTTTGACTGTTTATACAGGCATGTTAAATATAAAATTCCCAGGGGCAGCACCTGTGGCTCAGTGAGTAGGGCGCTGACCCCATATACTGAGGGTGGCGGGTTCAAACCCAGCCCCGGCCAAACTGCAACAAAAAAAATAGCCAGGCATTGTGGCAGGTGCCTGTAGTCCCAGCTGCTTGGGAAGCTGAGGCAAGAGAATCACCTAAACCCAAGGGTGTGAGGTTGCTGTGAGCTGTGACATCGCAGCACTCTACCAAGGGTGACATAGTAAGACTCTGTCTCAAAAAAAAAAAAGTTCACTTCTATGCCCATTGTTCTGAAATTTTAGAACAAATGCTACAAAAGACAAAGGTACCAAATAAAATAAATAAATGTTTACTTATCTTCTAAAGAAAGAGTCTAAAACTTCCATAGAATGGGGACAAAAACAGCTCACATGCAAAGGAACAAGAATCAGAATGGCATGATGGTTCTGAACAGGTACTATAAGAAAGAGGAACAATGCCTTTAAAATCTGAACAGTAAATTATTTTCAACCCTGGAAGTCCAGGCTCAGCCAATCAATTACAAGAATAGAGATGTGCTAAGACTTAGAAAGCTAGTTAAGAATGAGTTCTGTCAAAATAAGGGGGAGAACCAAGAGGCCATCTACTCCAGGAAACAGAGGATCAGACAGCAGTCAGGCGATAAAAGGGGAGCACTAGGAAAATAAGCAGTAGATAGCAACCAGCCTCTACAGAAACAGGAAAGCCGTGACAGGGAGGTCTCCAGGGCCAGGGAAGGAGGAGGCTGAAAGAGGGTGGAGAATTCTATAGGCTACTGACTGTTTACACAGGCATGTTAAATATAAAATTCCCAGGGGCGGTGCCTGTGGAAAGGAAAAATACTTGCCTAAACTGTAAACAATATTCGCACACTTAACAATATAAACACCATAAGTTTAACCAAAAACATAATAAAATTATATCAGAAACATGAAGATAAAGGAAATAGGCAGGAAAGTGGTATAAAAGGCTAAATTTGCTTTTACCATAAAAGAAAGTCAATAAAGATTTTCCAAGATTAATAGATAAATAAATAGTATGAGCATATTATTTGGAAATGCAGCACTAAATAGCTAATCATTAACAGCATTTGCCTCTGATGAACAGCAACGAAGGACGGGGACAAAGGTGAGGATCTGCTGTTTGTCATTGTAAGCTTTTGACTATTAATTGCATTTTTAACTGAGTATGTGTACCTTATTTTGATTTAAAAATTCAAAATCATTTATTTTTAAACAAAGAAGAAATATATTTTTAAAATGAGAGCTAGCGGGCAGCACCTCTGGCTCAGTGGGTAGGGCGCCAGACCCATATACTGAGGGTGGCACATTCAAACCCAATCCCAGCCAAAATGCAACAAAAAAATAGCTGAGCTTTGTGGCGAGCACCTGTAGTCCCAGCTACTCAGGAGGCCGAGGAAAGAGAATCACCTAAGCCCTAGAGTTGGAGATTGCTGTGAGCTGTGA